GTCCTTTGATAATTTATAGCCAGTTTGATCAGAATTGAAAATCATGCTTACGGAAGCATACATATTGCATGACCAAAAAGTTCCCTTAAGGTAATTCCTTCGAAATAAAAGTTACACTGAAAAGTTTCTGAAACTTTCCCCGGTTGAACAATGCGATGTAATATTTCAAAATATTGAATAAAAAGAATAGGTCACCAGCCCCGCGAAAGAGATATAATCGACTAAAAATACCTCCTAATTCCTTACAAAATCAACCAAAAACACGTATTTTTTCACGTTTCCAGTGATTATTAATTTGTCTGCACTGAGAATTGGTCTATACTCCTTGTATAGAAAGAAGATGATTACTAGACTTAAATTTGCGAAAAAAAAATGATAGGTCCCCACGCTCGTTTACGAGAAAACCATCATTTACCTCTCTGGCGAGCATAGCCATAATGAAAAAAGCCGCCATGTTTTTAATGTGCGCGCGCTAATTACGCGCGAAATGATGCGCAGAAAGGATGCGCAGTGCAATACTAAGGAATGACCTTAAAATGGCACTCATCATAAAAATCAAAATTCAATCCATGGTGTACTGCGGATATGTAAGTGCTATCATCACAAATATATGTTTTTAAATTCTATTGGAGGCCTATTGGTTGAATAGTGGTGGATACTTGCCTCGCACTACGTTTCATGAGTCAATAATAATTATTTACAATTTTTACATTTTACTTCCCAGCTGATTCACTAGAAACGTTTGCACGCAGTTTCCAACTAGAAGTGCGTGATATCGGAAGTGGCCAATTATTTTCAAGTTAGGCATTCGCAATCCGTCTTAATCTTCTCCATCCTCAACCATCCTTGTTCCTATTATTTTGAGGCTTTCTTCAAGATAAAGATAGATTTGAAAAAATTATCATGAAAAGAGACCCATGTATGGGGAATGTTTCTTTTTGATCATTCTCTATTGGTAAAGGTAAAACGGGTGAAGTCTTCACGAGCCTAGTGGCCCACAACTAAGCCACTAGGAGTATATTGCTACTCCACTGAATGGGATGTTAGTCCATCGCAGGTTTACCACCCGCATTTTGTCGCCGGTACCCATTTATACTCCTGGGTGGAGAGAGGCAAAGTAAGAGCGAAGTGTCTTGCCCAAGAACACAACACTATGGCCCTTGTCATGGCTCGAACCCGGACGGCTTAATCCTTTCACTCCCAAGAGTGTTAATGCTCAAAACTGAGGAAAAAATCGTTAATTTCATTTTGCAAAATTGTCAAAAACAAACAGTACCACACAAAAGTACTGCTCAATAGCTTTCATTTGAATGAGCACACAGTAGGGTTTCATCCACAGACTCAAAAGGAACAACCACATTTATTGACTGAAGGTTTGACTGTGGGAGTGAAGGGTTAATCCGGAATGCAAATCGCTTACCATTAGGCCACCGAGGCTCGATTCCAAAACTACGAATTGACAGGTCTTTAAGGTCGCTCGTAATATTTTAGATCTTCTCGTCTTTGGCATTCTATCACAGGAAAAGTTGGACCTCTTGACGTTGCCATGGAAACAAATCTTGACGTCATTTGCATCTGATTGTGGTCATCGATAAATGCTTCACAGGTTTACACTTACGTTCGTCATCGGCAACGTTGAGCTAATTGTAAAAGATCTAGAGTGCGAAAGATAGGAAGGTCTAAAGTATTGTGAGCCAGCTTAAAAGTTATATTTCGCTCCAAACCAGTGCTGCGTTGTTGAATCAGTCGAAGCCGAACAGCGGTGATTTGTGTTGCCAGGGCCGTCGGCGTCGCGATAGTTTCCGAAATTGCGTTCATTGTCACTCTGTGCGCCTGTTGTACCATTGAATTCACAAAATGTTGAACTTCTCACACCGTTTATCGACCACGCCGCTTTATTTTGTTTTGTCAGAGCGGTGCAGTTTAGAGCAATTATTTCCCCGGATGTTTATGTACTCGTACAGTCGACAAGTGCGACCCCAAGAGCCAAAGATATCACTGTCTGCCAGCTTGGCGCGCGCGTAGTCCGTATACTGCAGTCCCTCTGTAGGGTAGTTACAAGTAGCTCGTAGATATTGTGTGTCAGAAACACGAATGGAAACCATCTGTGATAAGGACAGGCGGTAGGCGTTCCAATCTACGTCACTGTTACTGTTATTCACTGGAAAATCATCGCCAAACCTTTCGGTTGCAAACATCTCTTTATTAGCAAAAGAAAACGATTGGATCAATGCCCAAAACAAATCCTGGTTCTGATTTCATGTCGCAGTAAACAGAAAATGCTTCGTTCGTTGAATTAAAGATGGGATACATTCCAGATCCTGGGGCGCCGTTTTTAGCGATATCTTGGCAGTTTCTTGGATATTTAATTTTTTCACACCGCTGACCAGTGTAAGTGTCAGGACAGGCGCATGTAAACCGCATGCTGTAAGGGTCACAGATCTCCTGACACACCCCTCCGTTGACACAAGGATTTGGGTTGCAACATCTGTTGATACAGCGATGCTTTCCTGGGATGTACTTCCCTCCACCCTAATACAACACAAAACATATTAGTGATCTCGTGACAAACTGAATACAGTTACCGTTGAACCTCGATATTTCGAACTCGGTTATTTCGACCCCCCCCCCCCCCCCCCGCTATTCCCAGGGAGAGTACTCCCGATTTAAAGTGACGGGGAGGTGCGAATGGGAACATAAATTAAAACCTAAAATAATCCCTAGGGCTTGAAGCGAAGCCCAAAAAAAATCCCCTTAACCAAAATTAAACCCCCAAAATCCCATGCCTGAATTTTTGAACCTTTTTCATAGCGGTAAATGTTTAAAAAACATTTACCGCTTTAACAACAAGTCTGAGTGTACTACATATCTGTAGCACTAAATACGGTAACATTTTTTTTTTACTGCGAACTTTTTACCCAAAAAAATCCCCAAAAATTCCAACCCCAAAAAAATCCTTCACACCTCCTGGGCCTCTATTTCGAAGTAATACCCATTTCCGTTGGATTTGCCCTTGTTTTTCACCCCAATTTACTACGTTATTTTTGAACTCACTTATTTCGAACACCTCGCTATTTTTAACTGGTTTTTGTTTTCCTTGGCCTAAAATTAATCCCGTTTATTCGAACTGTCTGCTGAACTCGTCACAGAGGTGGTCCTATTGATGTTTGACCTGGATTTACGTTAAGTTTTGAGAGACTACACTCTTCGAAGAACTGTATGTAATGTTTCACGTTGAATCTCGATCAGACATCTAAAGTTCAATGAACGGACGAACGAACTTTCGGACGGGCGAACGAAGGAACCAACGGACGGACGGACGGGACGGACGGACGGACGGACGGACGGACGGACGGACGGACGGACGGACGGACGGACGGACGGACGGACGGACGGACGGACGGACGGACGGACGGACGGACGGACGGACGGACGGACGGACGGACGGACGGACGGACGGACGGACGAAATGATGGATGAACGCACAGACGGACGGACCAAAGAAGGAAAGAAAGAACGAACTCCGAAACGAACGAAAACTAATAATTGAATAAGTAAATAAACCTTTATACCTCACCTTCACCGTGTAGCTCCTCACCAAATCATAATAATTAACTCCTGGGTTCCATTTCATTGCCGCTGACTCCATTGCTTTGTCGACATCGTTAAGTTCACAGTTATTTTCTTGAGAGACAGGAAAATAATTCATGGATACACACAAGCAGTCGTCTTTACATGTCACGTGACACTGGGCGGCACTGTAGACTGTCAATCTTCTAAACACGTGACCCTCAAGGATGTGGTTATAGACTACATCTTCATCGATAACAAACTTGAAGTTTTGGCAATTCACGTCACTGTACACCGTAATGAGGAGAGTCAGATGTGATACCAAAAACACCACTTGTAGAACACGTACCATGATACCCATAGTAATGCTATATAAACTGAAACATACAAAATGTAGAGAGGTTTTCAATTGAGTGTCGTAACACCAAAACCAAAGCAATTACAACAGCCAATCACAACAAACGTAAACGACAGAACGAACTAAACAAAGCTTCCGTTAAGTTTCATTCAAGAAAGAGCTTAGCGATTACCGCTAGTCCAGAAAATAATTCTCGGCACGAACGTTTTAAATAAGCCAGTTGTGCCGTGCGTTGAAACTGAATGCAAGCGTACAGCTTGTCAAGGTTTGGCATAAAATGAAAATTGTAAATTGTCACCGAATGCAAAAATTAGATTAACACGGAAATGAAACTGTAGAAAACTGAGGAAACAGTTTTGGTCGAAAAATGCTTTCATGATACTACGCAAAGAGTATGTAAGATTGTCCTAAAATTTGCCGGTTGCGACTTTGATGGTTTTTGTCATGATACCGTAGCTTAGCCGTAGCTTCTCATTTCATTTGCTTTTAGTGGTGAAATTTCGTTTGAGTCTCCATCGTCTGTCCTTCGCAGGTAATTACATATTTTGGTGTAAAAATTAATCGTCTTAGTTTCTTGTTATTTGGATTAAGTTTGATTTCTTCGGTAATTTTATAGCGACCTTGTGATCAGCTAATCAGTTTTCACGCGCGCGCGGGAAAAAACAGATCTAGCATTACCAAACCAAGTAGGAAAAAAAATATATGTTATTTACCGGTCTAGGTCGGTCCGTATAGGAAAAAACCGTGCCCTCGGTCTTGAGTACGGCCCTGCTGCTTTGTGTATAAACAACTAATATAAATGTATACATACAAAGACCCGTGTCGCTTATAAATTTAAAAAAGCCAATTTGATCTTAATGAGTTTGACAGGTGTTTTCAGTCCCACGAACGATCACCTTACAATATTACTGATAAAAATATAATAAAAAATATACGAAAATATAAGAAAAAGATGAATCTTTAATAGCAATACTGTATTATAATAATCTTATATGACCAATACCTGAAAAGTTCACGTGAAAATTTTAAACTTTAAAATTGTGGCCTAAGGCTAAACACCCACGAGTCTCCTGTAGCTCAGTGGTAGAGCGTCCGACTGGTGTGCGGAAGGTCGCAGATTCGACTCCTGATAAAGCATCTTTCTCATAACTCTGCCAAGCTTAAAATTCACCATCATTTTTTTCCACACTGATATCCAGCAAATCGACAAAACTAAGCCTGGCAGTTATATGGTCTAAGCTCCCACGAGTCCCTTGTAGCTCAGTGGTAGAGTGTTCGATCGGGGAATAACTCGTCCCTTGCCTTATTTCTAGTTTTTCGATAACACACCTTGATAAACGTGTGAATATATCATAATTACAATTCTATTCATACAAGACTTCACCACAAGTTCTAATTTTCTCTATCAGTTTAGTGTTTATCTAAGATTGGTACTGCTTCAGTCTCTTTATCTGAGAGATAACGAGAGGTTACAATTGCCAATTTTGTTACCATTGTCCAGTCCAGTCGAAACTCTCTGAGCGGACACTCTCGTAAGCGGACAGCTTCTACTTACGGCCGCCTTGACAAACCCCATTTTGAACTGTAGCTCATACAAACTCTGTATTTACACATTCATATAAGCGGCCAGCTCCAGTTGCGAACACTTTTTCTGCTTCCCGAAGCAAAAAGACAAGACCCAAAGGTAGCATGGGTAAAAGTAGAAAACTGCTGCACGCACCGAATACTAATGAGAAGTAACATGAAAAACATTATTTCTAACGTATCCTTTTTGTTTTAAACCTGTAGAAGTAAGCTACTTTTAGCCAAACTAAATTTTAGCAGAATCAGATAATTCTGGCCAAACCAAATACTTCACGTGCGAAATAAAAATTTGTAGATTTATTTTCCACCGATATGCAAATTCTAACGGAATACCCAGACTACCATTCGGTCTTGTCTTGTAGGCTTTACGCTTCCATGCCGACAACATTAATTGAAATAGGTGTATACCCTAAGGCTACTATTTATTGCGGCAACTTATCTTTGCGATGTTTGCGATTTTGACAAATCGCAAAATTTAGTAGCCGCAGTAATTTCTACTCGCGAAATTTACACTGTTTTGCAGTTTAAGAAAGAAAAAAAGGACGCTTTTTGACGTTTTTTTCCTTTTGACGGTGTTCTTGTTGAGTTTAGTACGTTACTTTTATCGTTGAATAAAAAAAAAACAAATTCTCGCCCTGTTCCTCGTTCTTTTTTCATTTTCGGGAATATTTTTTCTCAAGCGCTGAAATCTGTAAGTTTGTATTTGCCTCAGCAAAATCTTTGAAAAATCGCAAAATTAAAACACTCGCAAAATACGCAGAGACCTTACCTTAAAACTGCAGAAAAATTGATTGCATGCCCCGGCCTGCGTTTCTACCTTTGAGGTATAAAGCGTCTCTTTAAAAATTAACCAAGTTTCAGGGGAGCTACAACAAGTAAATGAATAAATAAATATATAGCTATTCGAAAGTGATTATAATTTTTGACATCTTTCTGGTGGCTTTCGTTTTAACTGGCCAATCAAAATGCAAGTGCTATGAGATGCAGAGATCTCAAGCTACACGTTCGCGTTCCTATAATTGACATCTCCGGCTCCCACAATTCTTGCAATTTGATTTGCTAGTTTAAATTGTCAAAAATTAATCAAAAGTTTTGTCGAGTGGCAACGGTAGGGCGCAATTTTTTTTGAAAATAGTTCACCAAAATAGTATTTTTAAAAATAAATCCGAATTCTAATTGAATTCTCGATATTCTCTGTCAAGATCATTACCCCATCCGAAAAACACACAAAAGGAGATCGACTAGTTTAATCCTTTCATTCCCACAGTCAAACCTTGATTCAATAAATGTTGTTGTAACTTTTAAGTCTGTGGATGAAACTCTAGTGTGTGACCATTCAAATGAAAGCTAACGAGCAGTACGTTCATGTGGTGCTGTTTGTTTTTGACAATTTTTGACAAAATGACATTCTAGATTTTCCCCTCAATTTTGAACTTGGCACTCGTGGGAATGAAAGGGTTAATGTCGTAGCATTCCAACAAATAACTGGAGAAAAACTGTTAGATGCGCTCACTAACCGGCCGTGTATATGTTATCTTGTGCTAAAACAAACTTATCTACAAGTAAATGCTTAAAAGGCGAAGCTGATCAAAGTTGAGAAAGATGTTGATCAAAGTTTTTCGAATGCTATATAATACCGTGGGATATTTAGCAGCTGGCTGACTCAAGACAGGCAGGGGCACCGACGAGCCAATTTGTCAGAATTCGTCAAGAACCATAATGTCTACGAGGAACTTCACAACCGTAATCAGAAATTCAAGCAGGGCCGGAAATGTTTATTTAGCCTCCTAGGGCTAGTGTTTTGTGTTTATGTACTATATAATATCAAACACGACATGCGTTTCATCACATTTCCAAACACCGAGAAGAGAGTTGAAAATATACCACGCACAGCGGAGTATTCTTGATGAAATTCGACGGTGTTTGGAAATGTGATGAAACACTGTCTCAAGTGTTTGATATATATCTTCCAAACCGAAACTAAAACTAAGGAGGAAACGTGGAAATAAGTCGTAAAAATCTATGCTGATTAAGATCAGATATCCAATGATTTCCTTTGTTTTAACTTGATGAATTATTTATGAGTTTGAGAAGGAGATTAGCAACTTAGCTATTCTTCCCCCGCTCCTGAGACGTCTGATGCGACATGCGAGCCGACAAATTCCATACTGATGACGAAGAGATCCGTGTAGTGTCTCTGATTGTTTCTCGGTGTTAAAGGGGCAGTGTCACGGGGATTTGATGTCATTTCAAAAACCAAAACACGTTTCTGTATTTACAGAAAACTAAAAATAATGGTCAAATTTTGTTATAAAATTACCATCCTAGTGTACTAAAACTGTCAATAAGTGTCTCTGGCCATAGAAACTGGGTCGGAATTGATCGCAATTTGAAAACATGTTAGGCTAACAGTTTTTCAATTTCTCGCATTTTCGTTTCCAAAATGCATTAGAACAGACCATAATTGTTCCTCTTTCAAGAATTTGGTTGATTTCTTTTCTTGGTGTTCTAGAATTATTTTGTAAATAAAAAAGGTACTGAAGCACAGTTTTGACCAAAAAAGGTCAAAATCCCCGTGACACTGCTCCTTTTAATTTTGATTGTTTTATGTATCTAATGTTGCTATGTTGGAAGGTTCATCGATGTATCGTGCTTAAATTTTGTTTTTAAATTTAGATGTCAGTGAGGAGCCTGGGTCCAGTCCGTTGGAACCAATCACAATTGAAGACAAGCCTCCAATGACCCTCGATGTCAGGTATTACTACTATTCGTGGCGAAACATTCCATAGTGGAGCGGTTTTCAATTGAGTGTCGTAAAACCAAACCAATTATGAGCTAGGGCCAGTCACAACAAATGTAAAGGACACAATGAACCAATGACATCTCGAAGCAAATACACGTAACTGGCGCCAAGCGCCTGAAAACGCGTGTGACCAAGTCGCGATTGGTTTTGGTTTTGCATCTGATTGGTTGAGAAAGTGGTGCGAGTTTCTGAAACCAATCAGAGAGCTTACAGTAGTAAAGCAAAACCATCGCTTCGAGTTCAGTATAAGAAAGAAAACGAAAACCTCGGGGACCAGGGGTAGTCCGGATTACTTTTGACACAATTAAAAACCGCTCTAAAATACGTTTAATGATGTAATTTTTGACCTGTTCATGTTTTTGTTTGCCAGTTTCTCACGAGTGAATTACGAAAGCAATGAATGAGTTATCCGTTAGACTGCAAAACAGTCTCTCTCATTGATGCGTGACGCGAAAATGTGTGACGCGCGGTCAGCGTCTCTCCCCAATCCCACTCATAATTTTCACGCTCGTTCCAGATCCTTTTCCGGCCGCTCGACACTCACGCAAAAATACGGGCTGTTTTGCAGTCTAGTTCTCCGTAGGGGGACTGAACTGAACTTGTGCATTTTTTTAGTGGAGACTAATCTAAGTAACTGAACGAAGCTTGGTTATTGCAGTTTTATTGTGATAAGAAAACTGTTTGTTACATAAGCGATTGTTAATAATAATACCGCTCAAAAACGTCTCTGACTGGATTTCAAGTTGTACTACATTTAACCCTTGACTCTCAAGCTCAAGGTATCAATTCTCCTTTCTTTTGGCAAGAATTCTTCAATATACACCTACAGAGAAAACAATAATTCGGGAAATTGACCCTCTGTAACACCTGTTCCATTCGTGTCAGGGTATTCGGCTGTCATAAATGTGAATGTTACACCTGAACATTCAACAGAACCGACACAGTTTACTCCGCGTGACGAAGGAGGGCCTGATATTTTAGCCCTTATGCAGTACGTGGTGTTTTTGCCTAATGTGATTTTCGTGTCAAACAACACTTTAAAGCCATAATAGCTACCTTTCTCGCACTGTGATAGCTCTGAGGAAACTGTCCAGTTTTAGACACCAAAACGGATTTTCTCTCAGTGTTGATTACTTCCAAGTCTACCGAGTAAGTATTATTCTTACTTCCAAAGAAGCACACTCCATGTAGTGCAATGTTCTTGTTCACAGATAAATTTATGGCATCTATATAGCCAACATAAAGCCAATTATTGGTACTTGAAGATCCAAATCTGCAACATCGTTCAAAACCACATCTTTTTGTTTCTGGAAATCCCTCAGGAGCTGACATCGAGACTAAACTCAGATATTTGACGTTACTGACGATTTCTTTTGTTCTTAGCATCTCACTGTCCAACACCACGCCAGCGAAATCTTCCAGTTTCATTGTCGGAAAACGTATTCCTTTGACTATTTCTTCTCCAAGAATTCTTCTTTTCACCGCACCATCTGCTGTTAAACCTTGTCTTTCACATTCCTTTGTTGCCCACAAGTCAACAGCTTTGAATAACTCTATCTCTTCAATCGTCAGAGTATCTCTTACGACTACAGCTTCAAGTAAGGATCTCTCGATTGTCGCAAATCCATCTGATTTCACAGCCTCTTCTGTCTGTTTATCGATCACTTTCCAGCACCTATCCACCAGGTTTTTCAATTGATATTTCTGAGCAGAGGGCAGGATGCTGAATACATTTGATGGATCCAGGTTA